TTATCTCAAAAAAACAGACGATGTCCTGATTGTTAGTTAGTAGGTAATCTAAGAACGTAAAAAGGCGGCATTGCCGACGACACCTATGCGGTGGAGTGGGGGAGTTGGACTGCTTTCATAATGGCTAGTACAACTGACAAAGGGCCAAGACGAGAGAAATCAGTTGACTGATCTCTCTGCCTAATAAACTTCCTACACTTTCATGGCAAATAGACAATCGCGCCTAGGTACTTTTTTCACAGAATTTACATTGATTTGGAGACTTTTATTTCATGTAACAATGTACCAGTGAGCGCTGTCCTACGGTTGAAGATTCGATTCCAACATAATGCAAACAGTTGTGTACATTGCTATTGTGGGTGTTTTTTTTCTATGCATGTGAGTCAATTATCTCATTTATTTTATTTCTTCACATCATTTGAAACCGTATACGTACCTACGTTAGGTGTGTCTTAGGAATGGTAACCAAAAGAGAATCTTGGTATAAGTCCAGATATTGACCTACAGAAATCAGTTAAAATACGATGATGTACGAGGTTAGAGAGCCAAATTGAGCTAATATACATTTTATCAGATTTTTTATTTCTTCGTACATCAATAAAAGTTACACCCATAATATACCCTTTTTATTTCTTTTTCAATTATGTGGAATACGCGGTAATAACCTATTGCGATCAAATTATTACTTTCGTGATAATATCTATAATTAGCCCACACTTATTGTACGATTCTTAGATTAAAATTCACAAGAAATATTTTTGGATTTTATTTCCATAAGAAATGATCTAATATGAAAGTGAGAAATTAACGAATATTTTAGAAATTCTAAGGACATTTCTTTAAATATCGTTAGAAAAAAACGGAATGTTAGTATGTTAGTATGATAAGGTTTACTTAAAAATATGAAGGAATCAACATTAAAATTTTACAGATTATGTAGTTAAATGCCTCCATCTCGCAACATAATCTGCGAATATTTCAAGAGAGTTGAGAAATTAGAGAAATATTTGTTTTTTATTTAAGCACGTATTCTATTTCTTAATTCACGTATAAATAATAGTTGGCTTAGTATAAAGGTTTTATTTATTGATGTCGTTTGATTACCATAATAATAGTAGTAGCTCTGGACAATTCACACAACGTGACCTAGTCCCAAGGTAAGCAGAGCTTGTGTTATGAGTACTGATATAAATACTTAGATTTTTTGGAAATACATTCATAATATACACTAATAATATAATATTCATAAAACACCCAGACTGATAGAAACATCATTAATACAAATGTTTGTACCGTGCCAGGAATCGAATCCGCGACCATCGGAAATAAAGCAATGTGCTAAACCGCACGACCACCGAGGCCTTCAAAGTTATAAAAAAGTTTTATTCGTGCTAACTCGTAACATTTTTATTTTAAATGTTTTTTTAAAGTCTCACAAAACACCGTACATAATATAACGTTACCTTGGTAGAGTACGTTTTTGCGGTGAACAAGGTTACTGGAGTAAGGGGAAGGGTTCCGGCTAGGGTGTGGGTACTCACACAACATCCCTTCTCGTATAGTGAGCGTATGTAGAGGATGGTAACCGCTTACCATCCGGTAGGCCGTGTATTTGTATACGTACGTATTGTGACGCATAGAAACTCGTATATAACCAAAATAAACAACTAACAAGAAAGACGAAACTCGGATGCAGTCACAATCTAAGCAGAGCTTGTACGCGGAATAATAGGCAACTTATAGAGAATACCTAGACCAATATAAACAAATACACTAATGAATGAATGAAATTATTTGTATTGTTCGGGGGTCGTAAAAGAATTAATGTAAACTGAATATTTTTGTTTGCATAGTATAAAATAAAGTCGCTTCCGTTGTCCGTTCGCTTAGATCTTTTAAACTACGCAACTGACTTTAATGCAGTTTTAGCAATAGATAGAGTTATTCAAGAAGAAGATATAAAACAGCCGTGGGCGGGTAGCTAGTATATAGTGAATAAATTTGATGAACTCAGAAATACTTGAAAGTAGATCACAATCAGGAAGTTATATATATATACTATGTAGTATATATCCCACACCGCCAACGCCGTGAGATACAACTAGTATATAATAAAGCTCACTATATATACGAAATTAATTGTAAGGAATTTATTTTAGACGAAGACATCATTAGGTAAGTTCGTAGAAAAAAATAATGTGAATTCTACAATTTCTTTTGTGTGTCAGTTTATACACGTATATCATGATATTTGCGCCAATTATACACTAATTTCAACAAAAACTAAACACTCGTTTTTTCTACATGAAAATTACTAAATAAAAAAATTTAAATATCTCTTAAAGTTTTTTAGTGTATTTCTTCCTTTCTCACCTCTGCTTAGTTTGGCATTGGATAGCGTTGTTAATATATCCAGGTTTATTTACTAAATTCTAGCGTTTTCTTTACTAGTGGAAAGTCGAAGTGATTAGATAGAGTTCCAGCTGTGATTGCTATGTTTACATTTTGTGTCTTCCAGAGGTATCGGGGGCGTTATAAACTTGTTATTGGCACTACCGTGAGTTTGTCTGTCTGTGCACTGACATGAAACAGCGGATCTGTGCCGTATGAGAATTGCACTAATTAGGTTCTTGAACCCACCCGCTTTACTTACTTTTTCATACACAGTAATTATACAACTAGGAAATAATTACCAATGTACACACAGAGTATGACAGTAATCATTCACTTGTACTTTTTGTTTTAAACAAATAATCGACTACCCATACAAGAAATTGAAATTGAAACCAACACCTATCGATTCTAAAAAGAATCACCGAATTATATTTTTATAAGAAACAACTTTCGACAACTGCCATCACGCGGTCCTAAATTCGATGGCATTTATTGTGTGCGTCTATATCTTCCCCAAAATTGAACAGATTTTGATAATTCTTTTTGTAATCGTATTGCTTTATTTCAGAATTGTTTTTACCAGGATCGTCATATCATTATAAGGATAATAAATAGTTAATTTTGAAATTAAGTAATTGTATTCGATAGGGTCGCTATATCTCTATACTAATTACGCAACGTTCGAAGTTTATTATTTTTTAAGAAATTGAAACTATCTACCATGTTCTCAGAATAAAATTAGAAATGCGCAGATGAGCTCTAAGTACAGTAACACATTTCTAATATGAAGCTATAGTTTGCTTTTTCAACGGCTCCTGTGTAAAAGTAGCAGATTTAGCAAATCCAAGTTGGACGCCCCGGGTCGACCACTCCTGCAGGGTGCGTCGTCAGCTGCCACCCCCGCCACTCCCCCTCCCCCGACTTTCACTCTCTTGTGCGTCGGGGATCTCGACCCTGCTGTGACTACGAAACACTGTTTACGCCACTAACACGCACGCGGGCCGGGTCCTTAACAACCTGGCTGTAGAAGCCAAAATGGATTGAACCGAAAACGGTGCGAGGTCGGGAACATTGTTAGCGGTGCGTCTAGGGTGTAATAACTGGCAACGTGTAGTCACGGAATATTAAGGCGTGTTGTAAGCGTGGCAGAGGCGAGGTTTGCGTGTGATCGTTGTTGACACGCACAGCTAGTTGCTGCCGAAGACACCACCGGACGAGTAGGTACCGGATCCCTTGTCACCGGGCTCGTGTACACTCAGCCTCACGGATATTTCGTGTGGACTAAAATATTTAACGGAAATAGAGTAGTAATCGTCGTGCTAACAGACGCGTAGACGCCTACGTCACAGAACTGTGAACAACAGACTTATTATCCAACAGTAGGAAGGAATCACGGGCGACATTCAATACATATAAAGCAACCAAATAGATGTTGATACTCAGCAGCCGCAACAACAACGACCTCGAAACACCCACTGAGATTAAGATTATCAAGTCGTGACGTCATATCGACTGATCTAGCAAGTTTGGTAGTCATAGCAGACGATGGAAAACATTACTCTTTGTTGACTATGTAATAATTTATTCTACTTCTAGGGACTATGTCAGTCAGCAGTCATGACCAGTGATCATGTCAGCAGTCTTTAAATACTATTAGATAGAAGTAATTTTCTATACCTATACATATAGAACGATGTCTTCAGCGCATAGATGTTCATGTGCTAATGAATCATGGAGGTTTTGTAGTATACATAAAAGTATATTTAGACTATGTGTGCGTCTATAGTCATAAGACTTGTAAGTATAGGTATTTTAGCACAATATTCATTTGAGTGGTAAGCTAAGTAGCGACAGCAGCAGATAGTTACCGCTTGCCCATACAATGTTATCGTGCATTAGGTACGTACCTACCTACGTGCGTCACATTGCGATTTGGTCTCGTGGTAGACAAACACTTCTTACCGTATGTTATATACCTACGACTAAATTTGGCAAAGAATGGTAACTAATTAAAATGCTGTTACACAACAAGAGTGACTGTTAATTGAAACTGAACAAGGACAACTTTGATTTGCTACTCCCGCTATCAATTTAATTGTTTGTTATTAAGAGTTAGTTTCATGTGTGTACGGTATGGATACATAGACATCTATAACTCATAAGAACGACGCAAGAGCAGAGCAAAGACAGAGCAGAGCTCGAGGTCGGGCGCGCCCGCGTCGCCACCGCACCGAAGCACTCCCGCTGCGACCCTACGACTCACGCGATAAGGCGCACATCGCAGCGCGCACTCGCTGACCTCACCGCACCGCGCCGGCAAATAATAAATATGTAACACTGATAAAGCCGCAGAAGCGATGACCGGCAAGTATTTAGGGATTCTCGTTTGGCAAACATACGACGGGTCATCGCGCCCACGACGACGCCACACCGAGGCCGCCGGGTTCGCAGAAGACGATGTTGTTGTGGATGACCACCGTCTATTTCTGTTCGCCGGGCGATAGGGTCTCTCAGAAATAGTCGGTGGGCGGTACCTGCAGAGTCCTCTGCGACGGTTGAGTTTAAAGAAAGATAGGGTAGTCACGTGTAGTGTTGTGTATACATACCTGTACGCAGCGGAGGTGGTGTCACTCGCGGGTCGAACAACAGTCGTGTGGATGGCGCGCGGCTGACTGGCGGACTGGCGGGCAGCAGCGAGCGTCGCCGCGGCAGCAGCGGCCGCCGCCCGCGCCCCGCGCACCACCCGCTGCATTCCGTGCGTGCGCCCGCCGCCGTCGGGAGAGCCGCCACTCGCCGCTTCCACTGACATCAGCGCCTGACGCCTCCCCATATCTTTCACGCACGTTGCCGCCGCTCGCTTGTCACCTCTGTGTGACCCTCACGACCGCCTACCCGCAACGACCTCGTTCTGTTATTCTCATCCCATATGACTAGGTATAGTATAACAAGTAAAGAGTAATGGTAGAATCTTAACTGTCTGATTCAATCTACCAATACATGCAACAATTGGATAACGAAGACATCATTTTAATGTTAATGAATTCACTAACTTGCAAGTAGAGTCACAAAAATCAGAAGCATGTCGTCAATAGAATAGTAAAGTAACAAAGTGTAGGTGACGTTGTTATGTACTTCAACAGGCCAGTACCTATATAGTACCAGTATAGTATATACCAGTAGACTGACCATCACTTACAACAATGAAGTGAGTATGTGAACGGTACATACTTACTTCAATATAGGTACCTACTAACTATTGTCTATATAGATCTATTTTCAGTGGACTAGACTGGTTTAGACTGCAATAATGGCAGTAATAGCTGGTCGTTTGCCAAAAAAGGATTTCAGGTTAGATTCCAAAAACGTCTAAGATCTTATATTTCTAGACTTCTTACATTGTTATATATAATTGCATCGAGGTTAGCTATCAAGCATATGGCTAGCCTGATACTTCAGGATCGATACCAAAAATGTCTAAAATCTTATATTTCAAACATACGGTCCGCCTGATGATAGACGGCTACAGCACCATTACACGCTTTTATAACTAAATGGACTCACATGCTGCCTTACCTATCTTTACTAGGAATATCACACACTACTGTTTCGAAACAAATGTCAAACAAGTCTTTTGTGTTCATTTTATTACACATGATAAAACTTAATAATCGTACTGCACGTAGCACCTCTTGTACTTTATCTCTTTTAGGATATCAAGGTGAGCAAATATTGGGAAAGTGCAGGACAGTGTGAGGAAACGCCTGTTTTAATACAAATAGTGATGTGTTACAAACAATATTCAACTATTTATCTGAAGCGTGCCTACTTACTGCTGTTGTTATGAAATTTGAGATGCCTATTATTTAGTTGTATTCACTGATACTCTCAACATAGTTGGTAAGTAATCTATGCCTATAGTTTTTTTTTTAATTATGTTAACTGTATGCCAATTAACCAGGTAGTGGGAACCGCGTAGCGATCGATATCAATGACATTGCTAGCAATGGGACCAAAAATCTCTTTATTAACAATCTCCTCCCACCTCCTAAAAACACATATCTGTTACAATTTCTTAGCAGGATAATAAAATCTAGTAAGAATGTGCAATACAAATTAATTCATAGCATAAAAATAAAATAGTACAGACTGAGTTAGAGGCGTGACGATGTAAAGACATTACCAACAAGAGGTTTTCAATCTTTCAGTAAGAACACCATTACGTATAAGCTTATATTAATCTAAATGTTTATTATGTACACTATTTTTAAAAAATAGCTTGATGATGCTATAACATAAAATATGTTTAATAAATATAACATCGAAAATGGACTAAACAATGTCTTGTTATAATGGAATAGTAAATCTGAAAGAGTAGTAATTGTTATTATCTAGAATATGTATATGATACACTTCATAGCTATATCTCTTAAGTAGTACCTATTACATACGTAATTTACGTGGTCCACGTAAAATCAGATTCAAGTGATAGATACAGTTTACATCACGTGAGGCGGCAGTTGATATTTACCATCAGTCGCGACTTAAATGAATATATCTGTGTTCCAAATTCCATTCAAATCCTATACAATAATTTGTATGGAGAGCGTGCTGTTTTTTTATATGATTACGAAATGGTGCACCCGCCTGCGTTAACGGTTTATGCTGGTGGAGCACCAGTAGAGGATTATAAGATAAACATGAGGTCAGGTCAGTTAGTCCATCGTGATAAATTCATCTGGAATTTATCACGATGGTTTCCAGGGGGAACCGCGTGGAGGTCAACCTGACATGGTACATTGATAGCAATGGGGTGGAGAGTCTACATTACTAACAATCCCTTTTCACCCGAGAGCATGTTGTTGTTACATCATATACTCATATCATCTGATAATGATCATAATATGCGATGGTCCGGTTCAACCTTCTCTGTGGAGGGAGGTGGAACAAAACGACCGCTTGTTAGTCGACCTTTATGACCCAATGGGTAGGCCTCCGCCCAGGAAACCATAGTAATGGTATATTTCTAAGACGTTCCGCCAACGTATACTTGCCATCAAGACAATAATAAAGGCTGTCCTATAATTTTCAATAGAAAATGTTTAGTATTTAGTACACAATGGATAACTAAACTAACATGGATGAATATTAGGGAATTAGCGGGATTCAAGACAACTTTTCTCCCTGATCCCTGATTTAAGGTATTGTTTAATTGGGCTACTTCGGCATTTCTTTTTACATATATCTTCTCAGGCGCCTATTTAGCGGACATAACAAACGTGTCTATAAACAGCCACTAGTATGTAGTGTAAGGAATAAATTAGTGTAGGAATATATTTAAGTTATGTACAAGGTTAGTCAAAATAGATACCTATACTATATATATATATACAGTTTCGTATATATAGTATAGGTACCTTTTTAAACTACTGAATGCCTAAAATTAATGAAAAGTTTTTGAAATCTGACAAATCAAAATCAAACTAACTTAATCACGTGATTGCGTCACTTGTATGAAATAGCAAAAATAATTACAAATTATCACTCGCTTAGACCGTTTCTTATTTTTTCAGTTCAGGTCATGTAAGCATAATACCTAATACTATCACTTATATTTGACCAAATATACCAATTTATAGGATAAACCAATAAAATCGACTATGGCTCTATAAAACCAATTAAAATTTAACAAATGACTTCTAACAATATTGAAATAATATAATCATCATCAATGAAAACAACTGTTATGATTTGTGTTTTATTGTTAGACTTCGACAAATATAAATTGTTATATCGTCGCAATTGAGAAATCAGGGAACCGAACCCAGATCTTTTTCAGCAGAAAGCGAAAACAAAATTGAGGCAAAATAATACACAACTGTTAAATATTGGTTCTTGGGTCAAAGAACGATAACGCTCAATAATCACAAAAATGTTCCTAAGTTTTTATGAAGAATTTGAGATCATAACGCCAAAATATGTATAACCCAAACTACCTACCTAAAATCTAAAATTATAAAAATAACATTGTATTTTTTATTAATTTCGTGAAAGCGGTTTGTCCTTATATTCAGTTGTGGACTTGTAATACCAAAGTTTAATTGATATGTATATTAACTAACTAACATATACTTTTTTTTTTCTTTTATTTATCCTTAATGGAAATCTCAGCTGTTTATAAATTACAAAGGCGTCAATACAATGTCAATGTCAATATTCTGTCACTCGACAAAGTCTATAAGAACTTATATGCGCGCGAAATAAAACTGATACCCTGATTCAATTTCAAGTGAAAATTTCATATTCAATATAAAGTTTTAAAAAAGTGCATATACTGCTGTTAATAAGTTATTTAAAATGAATGTAATTGTAACTACATTTAACAATCCGTTTTCATTTTTTTGCTTAACTGAAAATGTTCATATAGATACTACTTCGCTGGAATATAAACTTGATTCAGGAAATGCGCCTTCTAATAAGACTCAAGTGTCGGATGTCGACCATGGACAGGTAATGAATAATGGTTTGCATGTCATAAACTTGAACCATAATTATAATTTATGTAATCTGAGGGTCTCCTTTCTGTAATGCAACTTATTACATAAATATTTTCTTCTTCTTTTTTACATCTTGACCTTTATTAAGTCAAAGTAAAGTAAGTCATACTTGATACATTAAAGTTTACCTACAACAACTTTAATTAAATTCCTATTTGTTCTAGTTCTTATTCTAAACCTTAAACAAATTGAGGTACATTATGAAATAGAACCTGTTAAACCTACTTGTATAGTTATTATTAAGGGCCTAAGTGACCCATGTCAGGTCAACCTTCATTTGTCCATCCGTGCCCTAAAAATCTATCATGGTTAATTCGTGAGGTATTTTTTGTGATAGTCATTCCCTATTCATCTATTACAAAAATATTTTTGTTTTTAGTATGTTGCAGTTATGTGGAAAAATAGATGGGTACGAGGAATAATATCATTAGAATTACATTTTTTAATTTGGCTCATTGATTATGGCATTTATTTAAGACCAGATGATAAAACTGTTTATATTAATTTGCCTACTGAATATAAAAAGTTGCCCACAAAACTGTTTGAAGCCAGCATACATGGAGTAGTGCCAGTAGATAAGGTAAGAATGAATTTTATGTTATCTGTGTATAATAAATAAGTATAAAAGTATTATATAATTATTATTATATGTAATGGTTAACTACAGGACCAAATAAGTATAGGTATCTAAAATAAACTCTACATACTTTATCTTTTACTTCCAAGTATTTGCTTATTATAGTTCCCAGGTGCAGGTTGGATAACAATATCCGAAAGTATAGGAAGTATTCAAAGCAGTTTTATTATTGTTTTTGATAAAACCTATGTATGCACCCTAAGATTTCATATAAATATCTTTTCCTAAAGATTACTTCAATCCCATAAGTTCTTTGTATACATATTATTGTTCTATTAAGTATATTATATATTATCACAATTCAAATGTACAAATAACCCCTTTCATATAATCTGGACTACAAATAGAAGAGTTATTATCCAGTCTCTGTTTTAGACCACATCCTTAATCACATTCCTAGTATAAGTATTTATAAAATTAGTGTCATTAACAATTTCTTGAAATTTGTCATTGTTACTATTATATGAAACTACTGGACTCTATTTCAAAGTTTTGTATAGAGGTATACTATTTGGTAGGAACACTAAAATGTATCAATTAATCTTTTATCCACAACTTCTAATCAAATACTATATGTTACATGCTGTTCCACATGAACAGATTTCAATGATTTTGTGTACAATAATTGTGTATTGAATACTAATTTTATTTTGATTAGAAGTAGGTTTTTTACGGAACAAATAAAACTTTTTTATTTGTGACTAACCTTTGGTGGCACTGCCTAAAACTTAGTTCCTTTGAGTCTGCTCCTTTCTATATTTAAGGGAATGTGATTTCAAACTGATGCATACAATTTGTACGAAAAGATCTAAAACAGAAAGAAGAGAAGAATATTAAATCTATATTTTAATTAAATAAATATTTGGAATGCATTCTGACTAGTAGCGCTACTGCTGCTGCTGCTATATATTCATATTTAATTTATCCAGTTTTCAACAGATGGCGTCTTTAGCTTTTTTGTAAACAAAAACTATGTTTTGAAAAGATATACTTCCTTAAGTATGGTGTTTTTTTAAATTAGTAATGACACATCTGTAATTGATTTTTTTCTTTGAACTGCCATGAACACCTTTGTCTATATTGTGTTGTAATTTCTGTATTTCATTCTCAGAATTGTATTCTACTCTATGTACTAATATTAGCCAATTTGAAGAGTCATGTTTTTATAATGACTCTTTTTATATCTCTAACTCTTTTTCTCTTATTGTTATATTTTTCCCATAAACATGACATCTATTAATTACTATATAAATTACATTAGGTGGTGTAGATGTGTTTTGTTTTGGTAAAATGCTGGTCTTTCAAAGATCTGGATTATTTCTAATTGTAATTGAAACTTTTCTGCAACTTTAATACCATTATATTGGCACCAGCCATTGTATATGGATAATATAATATTAATATGATAACCACTAAATACAGAGAGGACCGTGGTTTACTGGCATGGCTGGATTGCATACATACTCATGTTTATTTATTTTTTAATTATTAATTTATTATCCATAGGCGTTAAATGAGGACTGCCAAATAGTAAATACGGCTACGAGTTCCTGGAATGCAGGTGCTGTAAAAAAAGCACAATCATTAATTGAAAACGCAGAAAACATTTATTTTGTTCCAATTGCTTTGTTATCGACCCAGCATAATGAAATTGTGAGTGACATTTTAAATAATACCTTATGTTAAGAAGAAACTAAATCAACATAGAATAATTCTATTTTTTTTAATTTTAGGTACTTGGAGACCTGTATATTGAAACCAAAAATAAACAATTATTTAACATAATTGATGAATTAGAGGTGTGGCCAGTATTTTTGGACAAAAACAAAGAAGTTTACTTTGAAAGTAATTATTTATATTAAATATTGCATGCATTGTATAGCATACTAGCTGTTCCCGCGACTTAGTCCGGGTGGAATTTAACTTTATTTTCCTGAAATAAAGTTGGCCTAAGTTAATCCTTACTATATCAGATACTTGTCACTTGTCAACAAAAAAGTCCCGTCACAATCGGTCCAGCCATTTCATATATTTGCCGGAACAAACAGACAGACAAAATTGTAAAAAACATTACAAATATTAAAAAACCGTTATTTCAAAATCACAAACAGACACTCCAATTTTATTTATATGTATAGATAGATATAAAGTGTGATGCTTCTTTCGGATCTTTCGGATTTAGGTATAGTTTTTTTAATGAATAATTATGGACACATGGCACACGCCTTCACTGCAGGCAATTACGCTGGTAGGTATAATTGACCTATTTTTGAGAACTGGGAGCTGGAGATGATATAAGTAAAGGTTTTATATGTATATTTAATTAAAATATTCCCCCATTATATAGTGTCATAATATATAAGAGTTCTTGTAAAACCAATGAAGAGCGTAGCTAATGAGTTACACGTGCTTGGTAAATAAGACCTCTTAAAGGACGGTAGAGCATAGTAACAATTGGAGTAAGTTACACGTGCCGCAACAGATAAGAACACCGCGTTGTCCTTCGCTGAAATTGTATTTGATGTCCTTGTCCGAACGAGTACTTGTATTTATGTACATAAGTACGCGCCGATACCGTATCCGTAACGAACAAATAGAATTATTTGATTTGATATTAATCTTTATATTGTAATGATGTTTTTATATTTTAGATATATCAAAATACTATATCAGGCGAAGACAACATAGAGCTTGTCTTCTTAAGCCTGATATTCCAGATTTACCAACAATAACGTCTACATCCACATTCCTCGAGTACAACGCCATCTGTGCTAATGCTGAGCCTTTTGAAATATCTATCGAGTGCGACTCACCAGAGGAAGATGGCAGCACTATTGTGGAATACGACAAGCACGAACGAGAAAAGTATAATTTAACACCAGCTGAAATTGAAAAGTATTCTAACATGTATATTACACTTTGCGGCCGCGAGTACAATGTATTGAATATTCTCTCAAATAAAATTAAAGATTTAATTATGTGTGAAAGGTACAAAGATCATGATAGAATGTCTGTGGGAAGAGGTGTGGGACGGAGACGTTCGTCTTTCTAATGGTATATTATTACTATATAGTATTAATATATTCCTCATTAGATATTATACATCCTTTAATTATAAAGGTACAACTTTATAATCTACACTAAATTTGCTCACTAGTTTGATCAAACATTTGTGACATTATTTTTACATTTTTTGGCAAGTGTGGTGCTTATAGCAAATCGTAATTCGTAATTATTAAAGCAATGCCATGATTCTATTTCAATAACAAACTTACAAATAAGACTGAAGTAAACAAGACTATGATAAAACCTATTGATGTTTAAAATATTTTGTGTGTATTTTGCTTGCAAAACACTATTTGTGATAAGAAAGAAGTTGTTTATAATTTAGGCGTTTTTTATTTATAGATGTATTATGTTGCTGTTGTAATCTGTTAGGGTTCTAATCAAACAACGTTCTATGGAAGCTATTTATCCGTGTTCACGCCAGATTTACATATTTAGCCGAATTTTAAGAGAGTTATATATTGTTTTTGATTACTCAGAAAGCTATGATATGACACCAATAAGGCTATTTTGGCAATACTCTATAGGGCCAATGAAAGACGGGGAAGTGTTAAGTATATAATACAGTATTATACAATCATATTATGTAAAGATTAATAGGAAGACTGAGTTTGCCCACTGATTGTGAGCATAACTGTAATATGTACTTTAGTAATAGAAGTATTAGTAGATAATATCTTAGTGTTGTGGTTCTATAAATATTACGCTACAGAACAGTACGAGTTACTGTATTCGATGTTATATTATTTTTACTTAGAAAAAGTTATTTATTTTAAGTTTGTTTGATTTGAGAAGTTCTATTAGTTTATTTTTGATTTTGAAAACAAGACTGCATTTACTGATTTCAGATTTTTTTTTATATTACTCTTACCAGTAAAACATATTCAGTTATGCAAATTTGTAATAAATACTTACAAATAAATATGAAAATTGATGTTGTATATATATATAAGTTGAAGTTTATCTCGAAAATATCTACCTAATGTTTATAAATTATCTTATTAAACTAATTTGACTCTACCTATGTAGAAAAGATATATTAATCTAGATCTGGTCCGAACTTTGATGTCATAAATAATTTAGAAAAAGACTGTTAAAAACAGGTGTAATGGAAAGTGATAGCGTTATTTAAGGCACGTTTATAAATACTCAAATCTTGCTGTTTTAATGTTAAGATTTCTATCTATGTATTACGATAGGTATATGCTTAAACCAATTTGTATGAAATATCTAAATGTTATTTACGTTACCAGTCCATATTTCGTGTGTAAAAATCTTCAGATTCAAGATTACTTTCGCTAGACTGTTACATTCACAGATGTAAATATTAATGGATGTCGCAACTGAAATTACTTTGGGTATTGGTTTTTAGTCCTATTGAGTCCAATTTATTTTTATTGATACGATACATATTAATTATGACGCTTGTGTTATCTGTGGTTATAACACCTTTTCCTTTATACCTGTATCTCATAAGAGCATTATAAGTTCATTAATGTTGAATAAATTTATTCGAAATATTATTTACAAAATAAAAGCCAATACTATCAATAACTTTTATATTTATATACAAATAGAAATTCCATTAGGTAAATAAACCTAGTAACTTACATATATCTTAAATTAGTATTCTGTACAATTTGTACGATTGACAATAGGCAGTACAGAGAGTGACAGAGAAGATACAATGTTATGCATATGGCAAGTTTATATTGCTCCAATAAATAAATATTGTACCGTGTTATATTTTATTACTTATATTTAAATTTGCTAAATTTGTAGTTCAAGTCTTTCGTTTCGAATGACAAATTACTTTTTTTACTTGAAGGTTTGCCGTTCACGACGGAGAGATTTAATGAATAAAATCAATTTGTATTAAAATATAATTATGTTTGAGCTCTACAAAATTTTCTGCGTATGTGAATACTATATTTTAAATAAAAAAATTGATGTGCATAGATAAGGAAAATAAAATTAATTGTTATCGGGTAGGTTTTATAATCGGTATTTTGGTAGATCGGAAAGCGCAATCTATAGGTAGGTACATCGCGTTTTCTATGTCGAATGCTCTAAGATATAGTTTCTCAACTTATTTGGTGCCGTGCCGCGAACCACCACATAGTAAGAAATTAATATAAAAATTTGTAACCCCTCCATTATATTTTTTTCAGATTATGTTTATTAACACATTGCGTCCTTTAATATATAGGACCGACTCCAAATTGAGAAACGATGCTTTGAATTTAGAATGATTTACGTAATTAGACAACTGCTATCACTTCATGTGCCAGATAAACATAGAGCGAATTACTGTTTCTATCTCACTCTAATAACTCTATGAAGACTGGAATTTTTACTGTACCTAGTCGAAATAATAGTTTCACATAAATATATCAAATGTAGTTGGTTAGTAAAATGTCCTTATGGATGGAATAAAATGATCATGTCTTTGGCCATGGCGAATATTCCAAAGTCACGTTGGTAGGTAATCACTCTGTGTGTACCGGGCTGAATTGTGATACGCTCACGCAGTACTAACTACTTACATTAGATTTTTATTGTCACTGTAATGTTTTGAGTATCGTATAAATACTTAAGTATTAACAAATCACAGACGAAGTCCTGGGTTGGTGCTCGCAACATAACTGAGGAGCTCGTCGGAGTCTTCGCACACGATTGGTTTCTCATGGTAGCAGGCGACGTCGTGCCACGCGATGCCGTCGTTGTATACGTTGTTGAGGACGCTCAGGCAGGACTCCGTGGTGCCGTTGATGTCGAATTCAGCGTTGTCAGGTTGGCGTTGTTTCTTGTGACCTGTCTGAGACCACGGATTGTAACCCCAACCTTTGGGGATCTGGAAGTAAGCATAATATAATATTTATATTATCAATTTGTAATAATTCTTAAATACAGTCTATTAGAAATTCTGACAAAATAAAATATCTGGAAGTGAAACCATAATGACTATGTTTTGAAAGACCACGGAGAAAAAGCGAGGGGCCGCGAGTTCGGTTTGATTGATCAATTCTTACACGATATAAAGATTTTTATTTATAAAAATGATCATATTAGTGAAGGAATTTTCAAAAAAAGCAGTATTTATGTATTTCTATCGTTATTTATATAGTTTAGTATCCATAGTACGAGTTAATATGTATTTGTTCAAGACTAGATGGCGCTGTGGGAAATGTCCTAGATTGATATAACAAAGAACTCATAAATTATTTATCACTCCTATGATTATCTATTTGCAATAAGGTTTATTGCTATTATTAAAGCAATGCAGTAATACTATAATAATATTTTAATAGCGGCGTATACCTGGTTGGTAGGAGCCAACTTTTCTCTATTAGCAGACCAGAACCATCCGAATATGTTCTTGGGCTCGAGATCTTTTCGTGATTCGCAGCCCTTGAAGTCGCAAAGACGACCAGAGGTCCAAATGTAAGGCACATCATCTGTAAACGAAAACAATATTTCATGTCCAAAGATTTTACATACTTAGGTTGTAACTATGTAAAGTATCTTCACTAACTAGCAGAAAAATCGATCGAGTTCAGTATCTAGATTTGAATATTCTTCACCACTGGCATAATCGTGGATGACATACATTCATTACTTGCCTTTCCGAAGGATTAAGGGGTTACGCTTCCGTACACTGCCATATCAGAAGAGCCTCTAATATAAACAGCTTACAAAGTGAGCTTTGTGCATACTGTATTACCTAAGTGAGACGCACATGGCCATATAGAAGTTATAGAAAGTATAATAGATTTTATTACGAATGGATATGAAGAAGTAAGAATACAGGTAAACATGAAATCATTTTCTTCACCCGCCACTTTACTTATACACTTACATAAACTATTTTTTTTATATATAACTATGTCTCTAGGAATTATAAAATAAGGTCACGATACCAAAGTTGAAGGTTTACACCAGTCATCATTACCTTGTGGTTTGAACAGATACTTGATAATAAAACTCGAGTAGGTATCTATAGGTTACAAGTGTTGCAACGATAGACCGATAGAGATAGATGTAGCCAAGTACTTCAATTTGGAAAATAAACATGTCACTACTAAATTTCTTGCCTCACACTTGTATTGATGTTGCAGTAGCTATTTATTGATATCAAACACCCTCCAGCATTAAAATACCATCTATAATGCTAATTTTATCAATCGTCTAAACTTATTTCAACATAAATTTTATGAAACTCGGATTTGAAATTTGTTGGAGTCAATTAGGCGCTACAGCACCTAATTTATGGGCAAGTATTGACACGCAAATAACGTGTTGCGACATCTATATAAACGATATGTGTGGTTCCATATTATAAATAATTTTTATAACATACTTTGCTGAATGAGTTGGAAGATCAGATTATTCTCCTCTTGCGTTTCCATAGAGACGAGATCCATGCAGTATTCGCGGCAAATATTTCTGCCATCCAACCAATCTACTTTCCTATTAGCGAGCGCCGGCACTCGCCCACTGTAGAAGTAATGATGGCCTCTGTAGAAGAACTGCTTTGGTCCTGAAACAATACAGTCGTTTTGAGATTTGAAATCACCTAGACCTATTGACATGGCTGTTAATTTAAAACAAGGAATCCATTAGTGGCTGTTCTCAAGTGACATGAGATATACTTAGTATGAATAAATAAATAGCGACAGACAATTTACATGCCGCATAGGTAAGTAACGACCCTCGTAGGCAGGTCATGCACCTACTGAACTATACAACCACGGTCATGACATTGGAGATTCCTTCGGCAAAACGTAATAATCATGCTAAATTGTTATAAGGATAATTTCGCAATGGTGCGCTCAGTTACATAACTGTCATCCGTCCGCGACATTTTTACAACATTTGTTTTTTACATACAATCGTGGAATTACATTACAATAGCAACAATTCTTGTGTGAAATATTATATATTATATTAGTATATTTTTTATCATATAAAAATGAGAGTAACCCGATTAGCTCATTTGGTCCAAAACACAAAAATATTGGTGATACATATGAATACTTTAAATAGATTCAATGAAGCTACATTCTGAGGTCTAAGGACAAATAACTGCGTTGAGGTAACATGTCGTCCTCGCGTTTCTACAAAGTCATCCTAGAAATGTTTGTAATTTTATTAATCGTACGCAATTGTAATGGTCGTTGGTAGGTATAGACTGACCCAGAATGTTTATTAATTCATAGCTGTAAAATTGTTGTGTCCATAAACATGGATAAACGTCTTTATTTTCTATGTTTATTGAGCAAGTTATCTCCATGTTTCAAGGAGAATAGATACCTATTTTATATATTAGGTGGGTTTTGGCAGATAATATCGCGACAACGGCGGTTTTGTGGCGACAGGCGTGGAGGCAAACAGATGCGTTTGTCACGAGATGCCAACTAGGTCAGGGATTATCTAGCGGATGAACTTTTGGTACTCTACTACCCTTAGTAAGCTACAAATGAAGTTAAGTTTTAACAACATTAATCACTTGATAATGACAAATAAAAAATAATATAATTTAACATATTTGGCAGGAAAATAAATAGACGTTCAATGCCTATCTATTTTCTGTCTGGTAGCCTGCAGACCTCTCTGCATAGTAGACCGAGTTCCAAATGTTTATAGAATATCTAGCACGTCTTTTGTTTTTTCAAATTTATTAAAATCTCACGATGGATAATTACTCAAGATGGAGACTACTGACTTTAGTAGGTATCAGACAACACCCTCTCCATTTTGTGTTTGTTTAATCTCACTCCGGTCTGAATTCCTTCAATATTACATTGTTTATACACATGTCTTATCATTCTTTTCAGGCCCTATCTCCATCACAATTTGGCATGCCCATAGACAACTTTGCCCAACAATAATCTAGTTTCTTGGCAGTTCATTGCAACTTTTTTCCGGCTAGTTGAACTGACAGAGTAGAACATTAACATATACCTAAGTAGCTCAAAATGTCCTATATGACTTTGAATTTTTACCATTAGCATTCGTAGGTATGATTAAAATGTCGTTATATTATTTTTTACACCCTAGACCGATTTAAATGACTAATCATAGGTCAAACAAATCTTAAGTGTCACACAATAATAATTTATTACATCTTCCCTTACCTATATATCTTTATAATGTACACCTGATGATAAGTGGATGACGACGTTATTTATCTCATATGTTACCATTTCCGGCGAACTCATGTGACTCTTCATCAGACTCAGAATGTCATGCCTCTGTACCCCATAATTCCACTGCCATATCTCTCCCTTTAGCCGAAACAGACTATAAAGCAAGCCTCTGGGCGTAAGCTTAGGTACAATAGATCGTAGTAAGACTGAGATACTACCGTATACGAAACCACGGTATAGAAGACTTTGTACAAAGTCTACCTAGGCACGTTGGCTAGGTATAAAAATACGAGCATTATTTATCAATTGATATTGAATTGAATATTGCATAAGTGTAAAATAAAGACCCTTATTTGTGTTCAATACAAGTACCTACAACGGACGCTACGAGCTTTTTGCGCTCAGTATGCTTCATAATTACATACAATTGCACAAATATTAGTAATTTGCCGTGATTGCGACTGTAAGTGTTAGTTCGCACGGCGGACAATTAATGCGGCTGAGACCTTGCGCGGTGACAGACAAACGGATGTGCGATTGTTTGTCGATGATCAACCACAAACAGCTACGGACAAAATATTCAACATAATTATGTACGCATGTAATCACATATTTAGATTGCAGATGTCGGTATGGGCTTATTATCCTTACACTGTGGAATCTTTGGAACGTTGTCTTATGACTATATACAGGTAGGCATGTTTCTAGTAGGTGCTATTTGCCTGGTAAGCAACTACCTATACCATAATATAGTAACTATACTATATTATGTAAATATTGCTATATCTACGTGAGTTTATTGAATAGAATCAAATAGTGAATTACTTGTGCTATCTGTTAGGTAGAGATGCGAATAAGCAGTTTAGGTTTATAGGCACATATTTCTATATTTTACAGAATCCAATGCTATAAAATCCAAACTAATCGCGCCAATTTCAACTTTACCAATCTTACGACAAAAACTATGGTTTAACGGGATATAAAGAAGCAACTTTAATTTTTCTGCATACATGAGGGTGCACGGAACAGATTCAGAACTAATATGTATCCTATCTACAAAACCAGATTCCGCTGCGTGAGAATGAGAAGTAAGTAGATTTTGCTAGTCTTTTTTACACGTTTCTAAGTCATCAATAAAAGCATATGTTAAGTGATTTTAAACCCAATTGAGGTTGTTCAAGAGGATATTACTGTAATATTAATGTCGGATGATATAAATTATTGGTTCGTATTATTGAAAGGTAAACTCTTTCGGATGAAGGTCGTGTTGCAAAACTCAGTTCTATTTTAATTTTATTGTATTAGATTTATTAATAGATGAGACGAGTGAGCAAGCAAATATATAGTTTATTATTCTTTTAGTTATCGAATATAAAGTTGTATCGATAATAACTTCATATACTTATAGATAAGTATCTACCACATAGGGTAAATGGTGTAAGAGTCTCTTTAGAAGGAAATAAAATAGTCACCAAAAACATGAAAAAAATATATATTCAGTGGTAATATTATCCTTGAATGTTCAATATATTGTCTAAAAGGAGTTATTGTACAATATATGATTCTTGCGTATTTTAGCTACAAGTAGATACCTACATAACTCGATATATGTAACTGCTTCATGTTAATTAGACACCGGCCAAAAAACCAATAATACAATTACATAGGATATTTAAAAGCATTGTAAAAAAGCAATTAAGTTACGCTATTGTAATACTAGGCATGTTATCGGCATTCAGTACGTAAGTTAGCGAGTTGGATGATGAAACCCTTAATCATTTACTGTCCATTGATATTAAACAACCTTTACTTAACTGACGAAATACAACCATTGAAATCATCTTCAATATAATTTTATTGTTAGGTGTTTGGAGTTGATATTTAGTAGTACCTACCTAATAACAGAAAACCGTACATGTTTTATTGTATTGATATTTACGTATCTACCTGCAATATATTTATTAATGATGCACAGCGACTTTCAGATACATTTATAATTAGGTTTTCTTATATTTTATCAATATCATTGGTACATAGTAGAATTTGCAAGAATTTTTAGCTCCGAAATGCTACAGCACTTACTAAATACAGTTTACAAAGTACCTAAGCAGACGACTTTAATTAAAGTGTACCGGTGTCGGTGAAAATTCGTCGAATCTTTGCAGCATATTCGAATGTCATTACATGACTTAGTCATATTGCGTTTACTATACGACATATTCCATCGATATACACCAATTTCCTCTCAATCTTCTAACAAAAAGTAGGTAATAAAATAATAATGCTGAATGTTTTATATTATTTAAAGGTACATTCTTACGACATTCTACGGATGGTAAGAAAAGGTGTCACCATACGGATCTATTTCTTTAATAATTTAAATTAATAAATTTACGGTGTTAAAATTTTATAATGATACCTAATAGGATTTAGTAAGATTCATTCACCTTTGAACTAGACTTCGTCAATTACTGGTGGTTCCGGTTTTCTAAACTGGTAATATAGGTATACAATAAGTTGATGATGACCGTGAAATCAGCTCTTCATATTATAACTCTAATAAATGCCTAAAATTATATTTCCTCTACTTTTATTCAACTTTTAATTAACTGAATTATTCATGCAAGTAAACACGGAGCGTAACATAATGTAAAAATGTTACTCGCTGACAGATTATGTCTAGGATGTAATTACATATATATATATATATATATGTATCGGATATAGGAAAGGTTCCAGTTTCATATATACGAAATAATAGTTCGTAAGCTGTGGGAAGTTTAATAAAAATATCATAAGATACAGTCAAATAAACTAATATTTAACATTTGATGCGACGAAAAAGGATTAAATTAAGTACGACATATTTGCTTAACTTTTCCGTGCTTGTAATATGTACAAATCTATAGTCTAGGCCTTACGTGGAAGTATTATGACGCCATCGCATGTTCAAAATGATGTCTATAAATCAGCAAATCATACATAATTGTTGTAAAACGAGTACGATTTTGGCGTAAATTTTTTACGTCATTAGACAAACGGTTAACCTTAAAAAGTAATTGTATAATGTTTGGGCTATGGAAGTAATAAAATATTTAATTTTGCTCAAATTTACCTTTAATAAGATGTATAAATGACTTGTTTTTTATTATATACGATAAGAGTACAATATTATTCCAAACCGCATGGCCAGCTTGGTGGTATTGTAAGTTAATATCCTCATTTTATCCGCAGAGATCCGTAGGATATTACAATATATAACTGCTTAGGAAAGTATTAAATCGTGTCCACTAATAACGCTAAAATGGAAATTTACTTGTGTTGGGATTTTGTGATGCAAGTGTGCAGTTTCTGAAGTGAAATCTTTAATAATTTTAAACCGTTTCCTATTTTCGCTACGAAGATTGCTCTGCGGTTCATTATTAATTAACTTATAAATAGGAGGAAATGTGTAGAAGAAAAGTCGTCATTCGTTAGTCAGTTATCGGTGAACTCTATGAAACGTTTTTGTTGTGTTGTGGATTTCAAGCAACGTTGGTAACCTTAAAACATTTAGCATCGTACGAAGAACTCACAATCTTATATTGTCCAATTTGCCTCTCATATGTCATATATTTATATTGTATGTATTTTCACCGATTTCCGTAGATCCAAATTTCGAACACAAGTACACGACCATGAAAGTCGTATTATAGCCGAAAATAGTATTTCTACGAGGTTTTCATACGGTTGGCATACCTATTTTCATTCTGTTTGGGAATATATTGATTTGATTTTATTATGTTAATTGTATTAAAAAGTTTCATTAGTTCAATTAGTAATAACGTACAGATTACAATTAGGTATACGAAAGCTAACCCATAGAGGGTTTTGTTCGTTGGGATTAAATACTTTTCGTACTATTTTAAAAGAGATTGTTTATTGAGAGTTTTGAAATAACGAAATTATTTTATTGAAAATTCTAAAATTCCAAATTTCTAGAATTTTATAGTATCCTTAATATCATAAATTAATTTATAGTTAGAATATTTGAAACATCATTTGAAACAAAATCTTTTCTAAATTGTTGTATTTAATATTTATCCACAATATTTAATTAGAATGAGTAAAATTTTATTTTATGATACATTTATATTTACCATAATGATAAGAGTTTCTATAAAAGGGGAGAATAACGTTGAAAGCGAAATGCGCCCCGAAAATAAACGAGTCTGCGCATTGGATGCTGTATGATAGACGAACGAGCGTCCTTCACAGCGTCCGTGACCTTGCTGGTTATTGACCCGAGCTTTTGCTTTCCATCCTAGAGCATACCTACATATTTCGAGGCACGTGTTACATTGCGTAATTATAGTGAATCATTCAATCAGTTATTACTTTTTTACATGTAGTGTTCCATCGCATGTAATTGTTGTAACTACTACTGAAATTAGATATATAGCTTTTAAGTGAATTATTTTTTTCAAAACATGTTAACTTTTAAAATGTTTGTATATAATAATTTTAATATTACTATGCTATTTGAAATTGTTTTCATAAATATGACAATACAATGAAGTAAACCGAACTTAAACCGGTAAATAATATTTCTTATGGATACCTACGAGTATTATAAAATACGAATTGCAGCTGTACATGATGTGCCGAACTTTAAACAGCACGTGAAACGTGACACTACGGCACGTTTATTTCTTCATAGCTAGCCATGTTATAATCAACCATGATTCATATAGTTTCTGAGCTATATACACAGCTAACAACTCATCTCGTCATCGCACGGGCGGTTTATGTGAAGAAGATCGCATAACTATATAATATTATCTTATCTCTGGTATAACTATAATATGCGTGTAATATATCTATAAACATTATAAAATCAATTCTTTAAACTATACCTAAATCCGTTGCGTAGATTAAAAAAAAGTGGAGAAACAGTGACTAAAAGCAAAACGACTGTGCTATAATACTAATTATACAGAAATAACAATATATAAATCTGAAGGGAAGAACTGAATCTGGGAAGGCATTAGCTAGATTTAATCTACGACCTTTGAGGTAAATCAGGATAATAAACCACTAGACCACGGCACTCTTACTGTACAATAATTTTTAAGAGAACTACTTGATGTATTTTTATTTTGTTTTTAAATTTCATATTTATATTTTTTGACATAATACTTTTTGTAACAATCAATTAAATATTCCAATTATCACCGTATTTTACCTCAAAAAACCCTCGACATCTCTCTCTCATCAAGTAGATAAGATACCTCTGCTTCATCAATAACCTAAAAGTCCGTGTTACATATAATTTTGGAGATGATGGATTGAGGCCCGCCGTAGCCCAAAGATAGGTCGCACAGTGAAAATCTGTGACGTGTGCAGATCGGTGAATAATTCACATCTCAGTCGACCATGCAGAGTCCCGCTAAAGTAAGAACTACTTCGAACGGGAGGTGAGGACAGTTTATTTGAAGTTACTTACTGCTAGCGCATTTTTGGGGTACAGGAAGCGAAAGGAAGCGTCCTGGCTTCTGTGCGAAGGCCAGCGTGGCAAGTGCTGTTGCGCACGCGAGCAGTAGCCACGTCTGCATCTGTAGACAAACGAATTAGAAATCAATATATGTAAGTACACGTGCAATCTAATAGCATTGCATACATTCAGCAAACTTTTTAAAATTAACGTACTTATTTTCATTATGAGCCAACTGTGATATGATAAATATTTCATGAAATTACTAATCTATTACAAAAAATTTGCGATTTTCTTTAAAAAGTTTAATTAATAATACATTAAAAATGTTTTATTAATAGATGATATTACAAATAAATATCGAGCCATACCGACATTTTTTAAAGTCATTATTTTAATAACTCACAACTGGCTGCACAAATTTGGATGAAATTTTGTATATTTATTTTAATGGTTTCTTGGGTCGTTTGAAAAATCCAATCGAACCAGTAGGCGGAGTCAGTTTTAGGGACAGAACGACGCCGACCGGATCCGGTCTAAATGTGTACATATATATGTATTTGTAGTGTTGCAGTTTTATCATTATAAAAGATATATTAGGTTTATTTCCACGTAGGTACAACTTCATCAATATACTTATACGTTTTGGTCGACGATCACTCACTGGACTATAGACGTAGAATATTCACACCGGTTCCAAAACAATGGGAATAATGTTTTAATTAATTTAAGAACTAAACAAACGGTGGAATCGAAACAATGAATCGTTAGCCGAAATATACAAATACTTAGATACGTGTAACTGGCTTAACAAAGTTTCTAATTTCAATTATACCAAAACCATAACACCTAAACAATGCCCAATTATTTAAATTCCATTTACACGGTTAATGTAATTTTACACTTTCCCACTCAACCGACAGCACGGTGTGAATAAAAATACAGTACATACATTGAAAATAATTACAACATAATTTAAATGAAACAAATTAATTATTATTAGGGATATTGACTTAATAATATATGGTATATAACTAAGGTATGTCCTAGATTAATACAAGCCCCGCACGATATAGCTATTAGGTGAAGACTAAGTAAAAAGTTGTTTGTGTGTATCTCAGTCTCACCTATTTCGAATTTCAGTCGACAAGCTGTTAGCTTTGTAAGCTGTGATTCGGTTGAAGGGTGAGAAAAGACAATGAAATTTCAGGATAAGAGGCATGACTTCTTAGTTCTCCGGAATGCAACAGGAGCAACACAATGACGTGATGTTCGTCACGCTCTTCATGTAAAAGCAAAGGTTGCCATTTACCCCTTAGGTGGATCGTCAGCTTGTTTGTTAATCCAAAGAATAGGTACAAAAAAAAAAGTTACTCGATCCCAGAGTAATGATTAAATTATTAAAATTAAGCCATACAACACTGCACGATACAGTACAACTAGTAGGTAAGTAATAAATACTTAAGTAATTATCCTAAGTAAAATAAAGTCCACTGTTTAAATGTCAAGCACTGGTTTTGTAGCTATTTTATAGGTATCTAGTCAGAATTTAGTGACATGATAAGAGGAGAGGACGCAACCGACAGAGTCTCGAGATTAGACATAATTGAGTTTATATTAGTAGCAATCACTTGTATAAATTATATGTTATATTTTACGATATGATCTTTAATTCTCTGATGGGTTTTAAAACTTAAACTGGCTGCCTCTACATGAACAACTACGAGTCTAAATGCGGAAAAAGAAGTCCATTTTACGAAAGAAAGCTGTTACGTGAAGTGGCAACTGAAATCATATGTCTACTGTCGCCCACGTCTGGGCTAGCAGCGGACTGGGGCACTGGACCGCATTGCGCGTCTCATATTGTGTAATATTTCCTTTTTCGTGTAACGACGTGTGGTCAGTTCAACAAACTAACACATTTCGTGACATTATTCACGATCCATTCATTCGTTATCCTCGTTGGCTTGTTGCTTAGTGTGTTATGTCAACTATTTTGAGCTACTATGGTAGATATCTATACGATCACGTCTAAATATTTACATTGTCTGATGTCATACAAGTGGCAACTTTGAATAAGCGATTCGATTGTTTTTATATTCTCGATACGTTGAGTTAGGCCGAGAGTATATTGGTCAACAGACGTTATGTAAGCGTGTCGCCAACAAGCCGATGCCTCGAGCGATATATGCGACTAATGAAATTTTTCGACCTTATAACCGCAAAATTAATTATGACACGTTATACAATATTATTTTTGTATTACATCTGTTAATAATTTAATAAAGTATCATCTACATTTCTATATTCCGTGCGTTATAGCATTTGTCGGGTGATGTAGATCTAATTCTAAACCACAAGAGCATATTTAATTCATTTAAGTACATGGGCTCGCTATCGAACAAAACAATTGAACGTGGGAAAATAATTGCAAAAATGTTATTAGTAATATTTTTTTATTATAGGAAAACATACTTAAAAGGTCAACTGTGACCGGCACCATGCAACCTCATGCGGAGTGTACAGTAAGTACAGAGTTTGTCGTAATGGTTAACTAGTTGAATATATGAATATATTCATCACATTGAACAACTTTCCTTGTCATTATCTATATATTCTTGAACCGATCATTTAAACATTTATAAGCTACAGTCTAATTTGGTATTGAAAGCCAATAAATTATTTTAAACTATTCACTAATAACTATTGCTAAAGGAACTAAGAAACTCCGGTTCTTCTCCCAATCTGTAAAGGCTGCTGGAGCCGTCTTTAGAATAGAATAAAAACAAACTTAAGTGTAACAACTCGTATGTCATGCGATATTAACATGAAATTATTATTAATTGTGTCCTATCTTTTATTATATTGCAAGATTCAAAAACATATATAACATGTTGCATGTTGCATAAATAAATATTTTCGCTAAATCCTAACAGATGATTTTATCGTTAGGTATAGAGTTTACGCCCATGATAGTTACAAGAAGGCAAGTCTTAACGTTTTCTTTATTGGTTGGCATGGTACGACTAACCCGGCATTTTACGATGTTTATCTTATTAAACATTACCACTAAATTGACTGAGAAGTGTCAATAATAAAGCACCTACCGGCATAATCATTAGGTATATACTTTTATGATGAAACCTGTGATGTGCGAATAAATATTTATTATCTACATGGAAAAAATACGATATAGAATCTGTGGATCCGCAAACGAGGATGAGATAAAAACACGTATGAATAATGTCGTGGCTGTGTATTATTAACCCGGAAACGTTTGTTGTCAGGCGGTACATCACGCGTTTCAACCTACATCACATAACCTTGACATGTATGTACCATATAAGTCGTATAGTAATGTTAATATCGTAAGCAGATAATCAATAAAGTAAGACATCGGCTCATCACAATGATTTTTATGGCAGCATGCAGTCGTGCATTCTCAGGGTTGAGTTTAATTAATTTCCTCGGCCGAATATGGTAATTACAACAAAGGTAGTGTCGATTCTATTCTACGCCTACAAAATCTAATAATGATCATCATGTTTCAAAGCTATTATAATTTTATGGAGTTGGAAGATCATAATTGAAGGAAGTAAACCGTCATTCGTTACATTCTGATGTTCATTTATAAAATCGAAATCTTTTACGTAAAATACATTTATCTCTTATTGGAAATACGTACATCACTGTCACCAAATGATCATATTTTATTTTTAAATAAATTTCAATAAGTAACTATTAGTAATACATGTACGTCATGAAATCATTAGGTACTTATATTACCAATAACTTTTTTGTTTCTTACAGATATTACTTTTCATTAGACTGTTACATATTAACCATCACTGGGGTAACGTCTTGGCCCGCCTTAAACGATCAAGAAATGAACAAAATGAAAAAAATAGAGCAGACAGTGTTTATATATTAATTTATATATATACATTTATTAATTTAAAAAATGTACATAATTAGCGGGTTTTATTATTACGAAGGGAATTTTTTACTTAAAAAATGATAGCCGCCCGCCGCGCCTTTTAGTAGGTTACCCGGGAATATGACTAACAATTTTCAATATTCATATGTAGATAGCAAGACGGTATTAGATTATAACATTTTTAGATGATATTATTCATTAGTTCAATTACAATATCTATAAATCTTTCATAATGTGAATGTATTTAAAATCAAATATAGATCATTGATGGCCTTCGTACAAAAGTAATTACAACCGGAGGCCGGGGCTTAACAATAGCACAAGTGTTCAACAGTTCAATGGTATTCTTCGCAGATCTGTGTCTCAATCGCGAATTTAGTGCGAGGTTCACAGGCACAATGTATTTGGCTAGGGTTTTGCAACGAGACGAGGCCGCGGCCGGACCGTCAGTTTTGGTCACGTTCGTGCAGCTTCGTGCAGTACTGTGCTGCACTCCATCTGGCGCCTTGCCAAATACTTACTGGCATGCCATCCATACTTGTTTGTTTCGTAGACTACTATATTTTTTTATTTTATGGAAATAGAAAAATTCTCTTTTCAATATTTTAGGATAGCCATACTTTTTTTTATTAAATACTCATTCTAATCTATTTTTATTGGATATTTGAAACAGTAACTCAACTAATGATAAACTAATACTTATTATTGTAATTGTATAATTGTATCTATTGTAATTATGTAAAATCCTATTTGAAAAGAGTTATGGCCTCTGGAAGAAACTTTTCTTCTCGGACCTACATTCCATACTAACAGTACATTAAACTTATAGTAAGTGTCTGTAATTACACATAATGCATAGATGATTGAATGATTTGATTTTTTAATAAATTTCTATAATCTAAAAACATATCTACTACATGTTCGTCTTTCGCGACATACGAAAACAGCAGGTCGAATATAGTTATAAAAATATTAGTGTCCTAAATTGTTACAAGCTAACTAAATGTCTATTTACTCCAGCTATATACTACTTCCATTACTGTTAACAGTAACTAAATTATATTTAAAATATATACCCGGTGTTATGTGATAATATCGTTTCAGTTCCCTAATTAGGTCGCTGATATTGTTTAGTATTTGAAAGGAGTATAAAACAAAAAATATTTATAAATTAACAGGTGTAT